GAAAGAAGGGCTGCTTATGCATAGGGAGACAGCTCAGGGAGCAGGAGCCCATGACACTGGGAAGAGGTAAGTGGGGGGAGGAGGTGGGAGGGGAGCTCTTGCATTGTGGTAAAGCGTGGTCAATGTCATGAGGCAAAGTATATGTAAACTGCTGTATGGAAAATGAATTTGCTCTATAAATCTTCACCCAAAGCACAATTAAAAAAAAAAAAAAAACTCTCTGAAAAATAAGAATAGAAGGGAAATACTTCAACATAATAAAGAGCATACATGCAAAACCAAAGCCAACGTTATTCTCAATGGAGGGAGACTCAAAGTATTCCCCTTGTGAATGGAAACTAGTCAAAGATGCCCTCTATCACCACTTCTATTCAACATTGTATTGGAAGTCCTGTTGTTTGTTTTTGTTATGTGCCGTCAAGTTGGACCCGACTCATAGCAACCCCTCCTTGGGTTTCCAAGGCAGTATCACCACGGAAGTAGATTGCCCCAACTTCCTTCCGAGCATTGGCTGGTGGATTTGAACTGCCAGCCTTCTGGTTAGCAGTCAAGTGCCTTAGGCACTATGCTACCAGAGCTCCCATTGGAAATACTAACCAAGGCAATAAGGAGAAAAAAAAAGAGAAATAAAAGGCATCCAAATTGGCAAAGTAAAAGTACCGTTATCTATATTTACAGATAAAATTATCCTATACATAGAAAACTACTGGAACTAATTGAAAGATTCAACAAAGTGGCAGGAGAAAAGATCAACATACAAAAAGTCAGTTGGATTCTTCTACATCAACAAAGAGATCTCTGAAAAGGAAATGAAGAAAACAGTATCATTTACAATAGCTACCAAGAAGATAGAATACTTAGGAATAATTCTTATCAAGGACACAAACATCTATGCAAAGAAAACTACAAAACACTGCTATAAGATACTGTAAAAAATCTACATAAATGGAGAAATATGCCATGCTCATGGATAGGGAGACTGAATATCATGAAAATATCAATACTACCCAAAGAAATCTACAAATTCAATGCAATTCTATTCCAGATTCCATCAGCATTCTTTAAGAACATAGAAAAACCAATCACTAATTTTATATGGAAAGGAAAGAGAGCAAACCACTACTGAAGAAGAAAAACAAAGTGGGAAGTGTCACACTCCCCAATCTCAAAGCCTACTATACAGCCATAGTAGTCAAAACAGCCTGGAATTGGTACAGTGATAGACACATAGACCACTGGAATAGAATTAAGAACCCAGAAATAGATCCATTCACCTATGGCCAGCTGATCTTTGACAAAGGGCCAAAACCCATTCAATGAAAGAAGAGATAGTCTCTTTAACAAACGGTGCTGACAAAACTGGATATCCATTTGCAGAAAAATGAAACAAGATTCTTACCTCACAGCACACACAAAATGAACTCAAAATGGATCAAAAACCTAAATGTAAAACCCAAACTATAACATTCATCAAAGATAAAATAGGGGTAAACTTAGGGGCCCTAATTTATGGCATAAATACCATCAAGCACAACTCAAAATGCACAAACAGCAGAAGAGAAACTAGATGACTAGAGCATTGTAAAAATTAAATTCTCATATGCATCAAAAGACTTCTCCAAAGGGTAAAAAGAGATCCTACAGACTGGGAAAAAATATTAGGCAACAACATATCCAATAAGGGATTTATCTCTAAAATTTATAGAACACCTCAAAATCAAAAAGAAAAACAATCAAATTTAAAAATGGGCAGAAGACATAAACAAGCACTTCACCAAAGAAGATATTCAGGCAGCCAACAAATACATGAAGAAATGCTCACATCATTAGCCAGCAGAGAGATGCAAATCAAAACAACAACGATTGCATTTCACCCCAGCAATTATAGCAAAGTTGAACAATACAGAAAATAACAAATGCTTGCTAGGGTGTGTAGAGATTGGAACTATCATACACTGCTTCTGGGACTATAAAATGGTACAACCACTGTGAAAAATGGTATGGCACTTCCTTAAAATGTTGGAAATAGAAATATCATTTGATCTAGAAATTCCATTGTTGTTGTTGTTGTTAGGTGCATCAAGTCAGCTCTGACTCATAGCGACCCTATGTACAACAGAATGAAACACTGCCTGGTCCTATGCCAGCCTCAAAATCCTTGCTATACCTGAGCCCATTGTGGCAGCCACTGTGTCAATCTCTCTCATTGAATGCCTTCCCCTTTTTTGCTGACCCTCCACTTTACCAAACATGATATCCTTCTCCAGGGAATGGTTCCTTCTGACAATATGACCAAAATAGGTGAGACGAAGTCTGGCCATTCTCATTTCCAAGGAGCATTCTGGCTGCACTTCCTCCAGGACAGATTTGTTCATTCTTCTGGCAGTTCATAGTACTTTCCATAGTCTTCACCAACACTACAACTCAAAAGCATCAACTCTTCTTTTGTCCCAGTGCCATACGTCATCTGATTTCATGGCTGCTGCTTCCATCAGTGTTGATTGAAGAAACAAGTAATATAAAATCTTTGACAAGTTCAATCTTTTCTCCACTTATCACGATGCTGCTTATTGGTCCAGTTGTGAGAATTTTCATTTTCTTTATGTTGAGGTGTAATCCATACTGTGGACTGAAGTCTTTAATCTTCATCAGTAAGTGCTTCAAGTCATCCTCACTTTCAGCAAGTAGGGGTGTGTCATTTGTATATTGCAGATTGTTAACGAGTCTTCCTCCAATCCTCATGCCACACTCTTCTTCACATAGTCCAGCCTCTCAGAAATCCCATTACTAGGAATATATCATAAAGAGGTAAGATCCAGGACATGAATAGATATATCCACACCCATGTTAATAGCAGCACGATTTACCATAGCAAAGAGATGGAAACAATCTGAGTGCACATCAACATATAATGGACAACCAAATTACGGTATATACACACAATGGACAGCCACCACCCAAAAGGCAGGAAGAAGGGGAATCTGGAGCCAACAAGGCAGAAGGATCCAAGTAAGGGAAGGGTGGAGAGGATTCGAACAGCTAAGGAAGAAGAACTTATCTGTCAGTTTGTCATACTGTGGTGGTTTGCATGTTGCTGTGAGGCTTCAGGCTGTGCCAGTGGTGTTTCAAACACCAGCAGGGTTGCATATGGTGCATAGGTTTCAACACAGCTTACAGACTGAGACAGACTAGGAAGAAGGAAGAGGCCATTCACTTCTCAAAGAATTGGCCAGGGAAAACCTTGTGAATAGTAGAGAAACACTGTCTGATACAGTACTGGGTGTGGTAGTTAAGTTTGGGTGTCAACTTGGCTGGGCCTGGTCTAGTGGATGGGCAGCTTGATGCAGTATTTCCCATGCTGAGACTGGTAATCAATGCCATGGTAGAATCAACTGTGAGCAGCTGAGTAGCTGCCTTAGGGATGTGGTCTACTTCCTTTATATAAGAAACAGCTTTGGGAACGGTCTCTAGCTTATGGCACACTTGAATGCTGCATGTAGCTGAGTCATTGTTCAGCAATCTGCCATGCTCTGCTGATCTTGGGACTTTTAATGGACTTGAATTAACAGCCTGCCAAGTGGTTTGGTAATGTTGGGACTGTGCCTTATTACTTGTCAACCTTGGGCTTGTCTGCCTCAGCAGCCAGCAGCTGAGGGAAGAAAAGCCTCCAGCTTCAGGCCGGAAGTAGGAAGCAGAGCTGAAGCCCAAGACTGAGCGACTTTCACCTGGCCCCTAGAGCCTGGCACTTTGAACTTGGACTTAAAGCCTCCAAACTGTGAGAGAATAAATTCCTGTTTCTTCAAGCCATCTCATTTTTGGTATATTCTTGTCAGAGCAGCACTTGGTAACCAAAACACTGGGAAACTTTATAAATAGCCTGGAAACATTGTCTGACACACTGCAGGAAGACGAGCCCCTTAGGTCAGAAGGCACTCAAAATAGGACTGGGAAAGAGCTACCTCATCAGAATAGAACCAACCTTAGTGATATGCATAAAGCAAACCTTTCGGGACATCCATTTGCTGATATGGCATGACTCAAGTTGAGGAGAAACAGCTGCAAACATCCATTAATAATCACAACATGGAATGTATGAAGTATAAATCTAGGAAAATTGGAAGTTGTCAAAAATTAAATGCAATGCATAAAGATTGATATCCTAGGCATTAGTGAGCTGAAATAGACCAGTTTGGGCCATATTGAATCAGACTACTGTATGATCTATTATTCAGGGAATGGCAATTTGAAGAGGAATGGCAGGGCATTCATCATTATAAAGAATGTTTCAACATCTATCCTGAAGTACAATGTTGTCAGTGATAGGATAATATCCATACGCCTACAAGGAAGACCAGTTAATACCTCTATTATTCAAATTTACACACCAACCCCCAAAGCCAAAGAGGAGGAAACTGAAATTTTTTATCAACTTCTGCAGTCTAAAATTGACTGAACATGCAATCATGATGTGTTAATTATCACTGGTGACTGGAAAGAAAAGGTTGGAAACAAAGAAGAAACAGGTGGTTGGAAAATTTGGCCTTGGTGACAGAAATAAAGCTGGAGATCGCATGATAAAATTTTGCAAGACCAACAACTTATTCATTGCAAATATCTTTATTCAACAACACAAATGGTGGCTATACACATGGACTTCGCCAGATGGAGTACACAGGAATCAGACTGACTACATCTGTGGCAAGAGGTGATAGAAAAGCTCAATATCTTCAGCCAAAACAAGGCCAGGAGCTGATTGTGGAACAGATCATCAACTGCTCATTTGCAAGTTCAACTTGAAGTTGAAGACAATTAAAAGAAGTCCACAAGAGCCAAAATATGACCTTGAATATATCCCTCCTGAATTTAGAGACCAAAAAAATAGATATGAAGCATTGAACACCAATGAAATCCTTCCTGCTTGTACTTTATCCTGGCTCATCTAAAGCAGAACCAGGAGTCCCCAGCTCTCCACTGTCTCCATTTGTCTCCTCCTGGTACTCATGGAGACGTCAGTTCCCAACCCCAGTTTACCTCTCCATTCTAAGGATCTCCTGAGTGATTCCTCAGACCCCCCTGTGCTGAACCAAGAGCCTTCTGAGGTGACCTCTATGCTTCTTTGCACCTCAGCTGGCAGGCAGAACCACAGCCCACGCCCAGTTGTATTTACCCTCCACCTCCCCACCTCCTCATGAGGTATTAGAGGGCTTGGCCCAAGAGCTGAGTCGAAGCTTGTCAGTTAGATTGGAGAACAACTTGAAGAAAAAGGATGGTTCCAAGCATACCTTTGAGATGAAAAGTGTCCAGGGTCAACTCCAGAGCATGCTCCAGACCTCATGTGATACAGCCTATCACGACTCCCTTCCTGCAGATGCTAGCTCTGAGAGACAAGAAGAGGAATCCTTTGACAGTGACAACACAGCCACCTTGCTCAACACCTGGCCTCTTCAAGAATTATCTCCATCTAGCTCAGCCCAAGCCCTGGAAGAGTTGTTTCCCGGCTATACCAGGCTTTGGCCGGGGCCCCCACTCAATCCTCCAGATTTTCAAGGCCTGAGAGATGCCTTGGATTCAGAGCATACTCGTCGCAAGCACTATGAGAGCCATATTCAGAGCCTGCAGACTTGCGTGCTAGAGCTACAGCAGCAATTAGCTGTGGCTATGGCTGCTGACCGCAAGAAAGGCATCATGATTGAACAACTGGACAAGACCCAGGCCAGTGTGGTGGAGGGTTGAAATCGGCATGAAGCTGAGCGGACAGAAGTGCTCTGGGGACTTCAGGAGGAACACCAGGCAGCTGAACTCACCAGAAGCAAGCAGCAGGACACAGTAACCCACCTGGAACAAAGCCTTTCTGAGGCCATGGAGGCCCTAAATCATGAGCAGGAAGGTGCCAGACTGCAGCAATGAGAGAGACTCTGGAAGAGGAAAGGCAAGTCCTGACTTTGAGCTTGGAGGAAGAAGGACAGCGGTGCCGGGCTCTGCAGGAAGAACGGGATGAGGCTTGGTCTGGGCAATTCAGTGAACATCGATAGTTGGAGATGCTTCAGGCTGCCTTAGAAGAAGAGCGCTGCAGGTGGGCCCAGCAAGAGCACCACCTTGAGGAACGCTACCAGGCGCTGCAAGAGGAAGACAAGGCTCAGTTGGAAAGGGAGAAGGGGAACACCCAGAGGGAAGCCCAAGTGGCTCGGAGGCTCAGCAGCAACTAGCATTGGTGCAGTCTGAGATGCGGCGCTTGGAAGGAGAGCTGGACACAGCTCGGAGAGAGCGGATTCCCTGCAGCTGGAAATGAGCTTGGTGCAGGCCCGGTATGAAAGCCAGAGGATCCAGATGGAGTCTGAGCTGGCTGTGCAGCTGGAGCAGCAGGTGACAGAGCGGCTGGCACAGATGCAAGAGAGCAGCCTCCAGCAAGCAGCCTCTCTGAGGGAACATCCCAGGAAGCAGCTGCAGGAGTTAAGTGGACAGTACCAGCAGGAATTAGCCTCTCAGTTGACTCAGTTCAAGGTGGAAATGGCAGAACGAGAAGAACGGCAGCAGCAAGTGGCCCAGGACTACGAGCTCAGACTAGCCCGGGAGCAAGCACTAGTGCGGGACCTGCAGAGTGGGAACCAACAGCTGGAGGAACAGCAGGTAGAGCTGATAGAATGACTCCAAGCCATACTACAAGCCCACTGGGATGAGGCCAACCAACTGCTTAGCGCCACTCTCCCACCTCCAAACCCTCCGGTCCCTACTACTGGCCCCTCCAGCCCTGGGCTTCAGGAACCAGAGAAAGGGGGGAGGATGATCTGGACTATGCCTCCTGTGGCTGTAGCCCTGAAGCCTGTATTGCAGCAGAGCCGGGAAACAAGGGATGAGCCACCTAGAATGCTTCCTGGTCCCTGCAGCCCTTCCCCAGATCTTAGCATCCTACTAGGCTCCAGTTTCCAAAGTCAGCATTCCTTCCAGCCCCTAGAACCAAAGCCAGATCTTACGCCATCCACAGTTGGGGCCTTCAATCCTGATCACAAGGCAGAATATCCATTCCCTGATCCTGGACCCGACTGGGATGGCTTCCTAAAGCAGGGACTGCCACCTTCTGCTCTCCAGCAACTGGTGCAAAAAATGCTTAAGGCCATCCAGCTGAGCAGAAGGTGGCAGTACCCCAGAACAGTGACAATTCCTCTGTTGACCTATTGCCCCCTGAGTCTAGTCCTTTGATTGTCCCATCTTGGGAGGAAGCCTCTCAGGTGCCATGCCTCCCACCCCTGTCTATAAAACTAAAGTTCCCATAGTCATGGCATCTAGTCTTTTCTGGGTACCTGAGCTTCCTTCAACCCATTCACGGGGCAGTGGTCCCAGTGGTGGTTCCCCAGAGAGGGGGCTGATGGCCCGAAGGAGCGCCGACTCCCCCTTGGGTGAGATCCTCCACAAAGAGTTTCCGTCCCAGGCTATCCCTCGCCACCTTCCTACAGTCACTAAGACTGAAAAACCTCCAGGACAAAAGAAAAGTGGGCATCCTGCCCCTAGTAGCATGAGGAGTCGGGGAGGAGTCTGGAGATAGCCCCTTGCCCCTTCTTCTCTTCTTTGTTCTTATCATTTTAATAAACGCTTGGTAGTCTGTGTTAGAATCTCTGACTCATAGGAATTTGGAAAATGGAAATTTTGTAAGAAACTACTTAGTAAAGAAACCCTATTTTGTGCTGTTTGAGTGTGTTTTTATGTTTCATTCTGTAGGAAAAGACTTGCATCCTCTGAAAGAAGGCAGTCTGCATCTTTGACTAGGTTGTAGATGTTTTAGTGAGCTAATAAGGTTTAATGTTTAAAGAATAAAACCTACAGAGGATTAACTCTGGTTGGTGTGGGATTATGGATAATATTTATTTTCTTTTTTAAACATTCCTGTATTTTCCAGATTGTCTAAAATGAGCATGTATTCCTTTAATAACCAGAAAAAAAAGGAACTTAATAAAAGGATGTTATTACACCAATGACTAAATGCAGAGGAACATCAAGAACATCATCATCCATGAAAAAAGCAAGAGGTCATTAAAAAGATAAGAAAGGAAGAAAAGACCAAAATGGATGTCAGAAGAGACTCTGAAACTTGCCCTTGAACAGAGAGTAGCTAAAGCAAATGGGAAAAATGACAAGATAAAAGAGCTGAACAGAAGATTTCAAAGGGCAGCTTGAAAAGACAAAGCCAATTGTTATAATAAAATATGCCAAGACCTGGAGTTAGAAAACCAAAAGGGAAGAACATGCTCAGCATTTCTCAAGCTGAAAGAACTGAAGAAAAAATTTAAGCTTTGAGTTGCAGTATTGAAAGATTCCATGGACAATATGTTGAATGATGCAGGAAACATCAAAAGACAGAGGGAATACACAGAGTCACTGTACCAAAAAGAAGTGCTCGATGTTCATCGATTTCAGGAGGAAGCATATGATCAAATATCAATAGTATTGAAGGAAGAAATTGAAACTGCGTTGAAGGAATTGGTGAAGAACAAGGATCCAGGAATTGATGGAATACCCGTTGAAATGTTTCAACAAATGATGCCTCGATGGAGGCACTCACTCGGCTATGCCAAGAGATTTGGAAGACAGCTACCTGGCCAACTGTCTGGAAGAGATCCATATTTGTACCCATTCCAAAGAAAGGTGATCCCACAGAATGTAGAAATTATTGAACAATATCATTAGTATCACATAGGGTTGGAGACGACTTGACGGCACCTAACATAACATAACACATAACATCATTAATATTGCACACAAGCAAAATCTTACTGAAGATAATTCAAAAATGGTTGCAGCAGTATATTGACAGAGAACTTCCAGAAATGCAAGCTGGATTCAAAAGAGGATGGAAGATGAAGGATATCATTGCTGATGTCAGATGAATCTTGGCTCAAAGCAAAGAATACCAGAAAGATACTTACTTGTGTTTTATTGACTATGCAAAAGCATTTGATTGTGTGGATCATAACAAATTATGGATAACATTGAGAAGAGTAGGAATTCCAGAACACTTAAGTGTACTCATGAGGAACCTGTGCAGAGACTAGGAGGCTGTCATTCAAACAGAACAAGGGGATACTGCATGGTTTAAAATCAAGAAGAGAGTGCATCAGGGTTGTATCCTTCCACCATGCTTATTCAATCTATATGATGAGCAAATAATTTGAGAAGCTGGACTATATGAAGAAGAATGTGGCATCAGGATTGGAGGAAAAATCATTAACAACCTGTGATACACTGATGACACAACTTTGCTTGCTGAAAGTTAGGATGACTTGAGGCACTTACTGATGAAGATTGAAGAATACAGTCTGCAGTATGGATTACATCTCAATAAAGAAAAAAAAAATCCTCACAACTGCACCTATAAGCAGCATCACAATGAAAGGAGAAAAGATTGAAGTTCTGAAAGACTTCACATTGCTTAGTTGTAGAATCGACACCAATGGAAGCAACAGTCAGGATGTCAGAGGATGTATGTTGTTGTTGTTGTTATGTGCCATCGAGTCAGACCTGACTCATAGAGACCCCTCCTTGGGTTTCCAAGGCAGTATCACTACGGAAGTAGATTGCCCCATCTTCCTTCCGAGGAGTGTCTGGTGGATTTGAACCATCAGCTTTCTGGTTAGCAGTCAAATACCTTAGGCACAGAGCTCCCAGAGGATGTATAGCACCAGGCAAATCAGCTGCAAAGGACCTCTATTCAAGTGCTAAATAGCAAAGATGTCTCCATGAGGACTAAGGTGCACCTGACACAAGCCATAGTATTTTCAATTGCCTCAAATGCATGTGAGAGCCAGACAATGAATAAGGAAGACCAAAGAAAAGTTGATGTTTTTGAGTCGTGGTGCTGGCAAAGAATGCTAAAAGTGCCATGGACTGCTCAAAGATCTAACAAGTCTGTCCTGGAGGAAGTGCAGCTGGAATGCTCCTTGGAAGCGAGAATGGCCAGACTTCTTCTCACCTTCTTTGGTCATCTTGTCAGAAGGGACCATTCCCTAGAAAAGGATGTTATGTTTGGTTAAGCTGGAGGGTCGACAAAAGAGAGGAAGCCCCTCAATGAGATGGATTGACACAGTGGCTGCAGTGATGGCCTCAAGTATAGCAGGGATCATGGAGCTGGCACAGGATCAGGCAGTGTTTCACTCTGCTGTGCATAGGATCACTATGAGTCAGAGATGACTTAACAGCACCTAACAACAACACACAGTGGAATACTATTCATTATTAAAGAATAATGAAGAATCAGCAAATTATCTCACAAAGTGGATGAACTTGGAGTACATTATGCTGAGTAAAATAAGTCAATCACAGAACAACAAATATTATATGAGCCTATTATTAAATATCAAGAAAAGATTTACACAGGAAAGGAAATTTTCTTTGTTGGTAGAGGAAGGGAGGGAAAATAGATGGATAAGTAAGAGACAGATTTGATATGGATGAAGAGAAAAGTAATATAACAAAAGCATGTAACTAGCACAGTATCATTAAGGAAAAGGAAGACACAGAGAACTGCACAAAATGTGCAGACAATAAAGGCAAATACTACTGCATACACAGTACTGCAGAATTGGTAACAGCAAATGCTAATCTAATGAGTGGATAGGTAGGTAGACAGACAAGAAGATCAGGTATGGATAAGCAAATGGAATATATTCAAGGCTATACATAAGTTTGGCAGATGATATTCCTACATATGTATTTGTATGTGGTATGAAAATGTCCATAGGTAGTTTAAACATAATCACTCAAAAAACAAACAAACAAACAAACTCACTGCCATCAAGTCAATTTTGACTCATAGTGACCCCTCCTTGGGTTTCTGAGGCGGTATCTCTAGGGAAGTAGATTATCCAACCTTCCTTCCGAGGAGTGGCTGGCAGGTTTGAACTGCCAGCCTTCTGGTTAGCAGTCAAATGCCTTTGGCACTACGCCACCAGAGATCCCCCATTAAACATAATAAGAGGCAAAACTAGGATAACTTGTTAGTCACAAATAAGTACCTTGAGGGAGTGAGTTGCTGGGCTTGCAGGCTGAAGACCATGGTCACAGGAGACATTAAGCTGAATTGGCACAACATGGTATACAAAAATACTGTTCTATATCTTACTTCAGTGAGTAGCAACAGGGTCTTAAAAGCTTGTGAGATGTTCTATATCTTACTTCAGTGAGTAGCAACAGGGTCTTAAAAGCATCTAAGAGATGACTATTAGTCTCTCTTTGTCTGGAACAAAGAAGAGTGAAGAAAATCAAAGATGCATGGAAACAGTTAGCATATATGACCCTGAGATCAGAAGTACTAAATGGTGCCCAGCTATCAATGCCAACCACTAGGAAAGAGAACAATATTGGAGATCCTGGGTAGAGTGGGAGAAAAATGTGGAACAAAACTCAAAATAATAAAAAGAGCAAGCTTACTGGTCTGATACAGACTGGTGAAATCCCTGAGACTATGTTCCCAAGTCACCCTTTGAGCCTGGAACTGAACCCACTCCCATGGCCTAATTCTTAGCCAAACGATAGACAGGCCTATGAGCTGAACACTTACACCAGGGAGAATCACTCCTTAGAACAATCAACCATAGGAAGTCAGAAGGGCAGCATTTGCACAGGGAGAAATGTAGGGAGGCAGGAATGCACGGGCAAGAACAAAGGGAAAGGGAAACCACCGAAGGAAGTGGGAGGTGAGTTGTTACACTATGGGGAACGACACAAAACAAAATGTATATGAACAGTTGAATGTTAAATGAATCCACTTTACAAAATTTCACCCAAATAATAATACAAAGTTTTGAAAAAATGAAGATGGAAGGAATACACAGAGTCACTGTATCAAATAGAATTGGTAGACATTCAACAATTTCAGGAAGTAACATATGATCAAGAACCAATGGTACTGAAGGAAGAAGTCCAAGCTACACTGAAGGAATTAGCAAAAAAATAAGGCTTGAGGAATTGACAGAATATCAATTGAGATGTTTTAATAAATGGATGCAACCCTGGAAGCACTTAGTCATCCATGTTAAGAAATTTGGAGAGCAGCTACCTGGCCAACTGACTGACAGAGACCTATATCCATGTCCAGTCCAAAGAAGGATGATCCAATGGGATGTGGAAATTATTGAACAATATCATTAATACTATATGCAAATAAAATTTTGCTGAAGATAACTCAAAAATGTTTGTAGCAGTACATCAGCAGGGAACTGCTAAAAATGAAGCCCAATTACAAGAGGATTTGGCACAAAGGATATCATGGCTCATGTCAGAAGGCTCTTAGCTAAAAGTACAGAATACTAGAAAGATGTTTATCTATGTTTTATTGGCTATGCAAGGGCATTCGACTGTGTAGATTATAACAAATTATGGATAACATTGCAAAGAATGAGAATTATGGAATACTTAATTATGTTCATGCAGAATTTGTACATGGATCAAGAGGTAGTCATTGGAACAGAACAAGATGATACTGTGTGGTTTAAAATCAGGAAAAGTGTGTGTCTAGGTTTTATCCTTTCATCATACTTACTCAGTCTGAAC